TTTTCTATACATGTAAATTAATCTGTTGCAATAACTACAAGTAATTCGTCCATTTATTTGCCATATTCCTTCTGTACAAAAGGGGTTGTGACACGCAACAGGTTGCAAAAAAACTCCAAAACTTGCTAAATATCATTTGTTGAAGTATGGCAACTCAGATGACAACTGTAGTTAACTTCCTGTTTAAGTTCTATTGAACGCCTGGGGTCTTAAACATTCACAAAATCATCAGTGTCCTTGTAGTTGTACTTTAAGGGCAGCAGTCATGCTGCGTCCTATTTGATATGGGAATTATAGTGACGTATACAACGCATGTAAAATACATTGTTTATTTACATGAAATTCGAACACTCGCTGCACGACGACCACCGCGCTTTATCTTTTAGGGAATTGTACAAGTACTTGTAGGTTTACAATTCTAAACTTGTGGGAAGAATCAAAGCTGAAACTAATGCTGCATAGTTTTGGTTATTGTTTCATTTCCGATTTACAAAATACAATTACATTCTGAGTATGAATACATGTATAACCAGCTTATAATTAGCATAAATACAATGAGTGTTACAGTAATAAATGAATGTTAAAAACAATGGTATACAAGAGTAGTAGACAAAATTATAATGTATATATATATATAATATGTCCTGTATGAAAATATGCAAAAACTGATAAAATATTTTGACTGTTTCTACTTGAATGATCACTGGTAATACACATTCAAAGGTTACTGATCTCAGTGTGAATATGCATTGTTGTATATGTTCAATGAAGCAAATCATTTATCTTGTAATAATATCTTTGGTAATGTATCTCCCAAATCCCATGGGAATATAGACTGGGTTTCAAAACCAACTCATGGATAGTTTTGATACACATTTGCAAACCTTTACAGAAAACAAGATGTCAGATAATCAATATAAGCACTCCTATAAATTGGGTGCCAAACTTTTGATCAAGATCTGAAGCTAATAGAAAATCTGTTTAGTCCAAAGTTATCAAATCAAAAACAATACATAAAAAAGCAAAACGTTGCATCCAAATTTTGAAAAGAAAATTGTATTCAAAAATGTTTTCTGTATTTGACAAACAGTTCATTCAACAAATAAAAATAAAAATTGACAGGAATTTGTTCCAGCTATTAGAACAGAATAATAGAGCTTTTATAATATTAATTTAAAAACGTACTTCAAAAATAGAGATTGCAGTGTTTGAAGATGTAGATTCTCAGGAGGCAACAGTACTGTTGACTTCTCTCTCCACTGGACACCAACTAACTATTGAAGTTGATTTGCATACAAAGCAGAGCTTGCAGCACAATAGCTATTCATAGAGGCTTTTTATTTTACACAATGAATATAATAGGCATTTTTTATTTTTCTTAGTGACACCTGTACAAAATACTTGGACAAAAGCCAGCTAAGATTTTCTGTTATCTTATTCACGTCTAAATGCAACACTTTTTTTCTGAGATGAAGCATTTGTTTTTATACTGAACTATCTGAAATGCTTTGAATAAAGCTGAAAATTATGTCCCTTAAAATAACAAGTCATTGAAAATGACACGTTCCCTGTTTAATTTTTGAAAGTTCTCTTTGTGCTTGTCATTATAAAGCGAAGAGGTTGTCGCGAGCATGTTCTTGAAACTAAGTGGCGTATACAACAGATTGTTTACATCAAATTCGAACACGGGTTGTATGACGACCCCTCTGGTTCAAGATATAACAAAGAAAAACATAGATCACAAGTGAAAGTAAAACAAATTGAGGTGCATGTCTATGTTGCACTTGCTAAAATTGTTTAAAATATGTTTGAGAAAATGAAAGTCGGAGGATGGGAATGAGGCACTAAAATTACTAACATAACAATAAATCTCATGAATATGAATGCTTGTTGCCATGGTGCCCTACAATAAATCTTCATATGGGGCTTACAATGTTAACATATGTGTAATGACCGAATTTCAGATTCTGGAATACAGCAATTGCAACTCTTTGTAATTGTATTGTTAGTTCTGGACTAAAGTGGCTATTAGACCCTTTGTACAAGTCAAGCACCCTCTTGGTGTTGAATAATATGGTGAAGGCAATGTCCTCAAATTTGCAGTTTTAATAAATATCAGTTCAAAATAATGCGTTGAATAAGAGTAAGCTAGGCATAGGGTTGATTCAAAAATGTCTAAGCATGTCCACGTTATCACATTTTAAACAAACAAGATGGCTACCAGTAAGCCATATTTGATCAAATTGCAAATTGAATTGACATGTACATGTATCTATTTATGACATGCTAAATATCAATGTAAATGATACATGGGTGAAAGAGACATAGTAATATGGCCAAAAGTAAAAACAGCCGTTATTCGGCCATCTTTGATCTGATTATAAAACAAACTGACATGTATGATGTATATGCCAAATACGAATGAAAATGGTACATAAATCTTGGAAATATAGTAGTAAGGCCAAAAAGTCAGATGGCTGTCAATCAGCCATCCTTGATACAATTGCGAAAGAAATTGTTATGAACATGTATCCCAACATGCATAATCTATGTACCAAATTTGAATGAAAACTGACAAAGAATGTCAAAAAAAAAGACATTTAAAAAAACAAGATGGCTGCCAGTCGGCCATTTTGAATCGCTAAACCACTGCATGTGCATATGTCCCACATAATGTACGATGTACATGCAAAGAATGAACAAAATCAGTCCAAAGGATTTTGAAATACGACTCTGAATGGACAAATGGAGACCGAATTATACAAGTGTAAGTCTCCGTTTTCGAACTTCGTTTAAACGGGGACTAATTAAACAAATTAGGCACCAATGTTTTTGTAAGACATTTACAACAATCAAGGACATTCGGTAGACTGCTTTCCCACTGTTATTTCAACCCCAAAACTTGTTTGTATTCAAAATTAATTATGACAATGCATGTTCATATTTAAACAAACTATGATAAAGGGAATAATATTATATAACAAAGGGCAAGGACACCAGAGTTTAACTATGTTTTGGCTTTAATGTTTTCACCGACCCTTCAACAGAGCCTATGGTGGACGTCTTAGCAACGTAGAATGTTCTGTGACATAGCTCTGCCCACAGAGTATTGTCAAAGAATAGCTAGGAACGACTAAATTACAAGTAAACTAATCTGAATATATCTATTCCATTTCCCTCTCGTAAAGTTTCTTGAAGTTTATAAATTGATAGTTTGTGTAGATAAACGTTACATGTAAGCGGCTGCTCAAAAGGGATAGACCGATTTTCTTGTGATACATGCTCACTTTGTAAAGTGCAATTTTGCTCCGTAATTATAGCCATCTGTTCCCCTTCGATTGGATCATGTATGTATGCAATATTTTCTTCTACACTGAATGGACTAGGTCCAATAACTTGTGTATTTTGGTGACAAATTGCAGTGGTTACTGATTCACACTCAAACATTAGGTGTCTTATCAGGCTTTGTTTGAACATGAATTGCTTTGCACACCTTTGACACTGATAAAGCATTTCTGAATTGTTTGTATGCATGTCTCTGTTCACTTGCTCTGTTTCCTGGCATGCCCTTGAGGAAATTTGGCTTCCGGTTATACAGTGGTCTTGATTTGTAAAACTTGATATTAGTACTTCTGGTATACCCAGATAGTTTGAACTCGTTGAACAAGGTTCTTGTTCATGTTGTTGCATCACACATGTTTCCATGCGTTTTCTGAAATCAATCTTTGTAGCAATTTGACAGTGATCACTCCTGCCTACATGCACCTCAGTGTGTATTTGAAGTTCTGATTTCTCCAAAAATTCCTTTCCACACAGATTACATTGGTAATCACCAATATGTGTTTTCATATGCATTTTCATCACAGGCAAGATACTCGAAGACACTTCACAATAATTGCAATGATATAGATCCTTATTGTTAAATTTGAAAGTTGGCTCTGAATTCTGTGATTTTGTGTGGGTTGTTGTATGCAAATCAAGTTGACTTTCTTGGTGAAAACTCTTCTCACAGTACAAGCACTGATATAGCTCAAGTGGTTGTGATATACTGTGGTCTATTTGCATATCACTATTTGATATTGGAGTAATCTCATTTGATACATCCAGGTCATGTGACCTCAGGTGGATGTCCTTTACTGACCCATTGTTGAAACTCTCTGCACATTGTTGACGCTCAAATTGTTTCTTTCTATCATGTGTCAGTATGTGAGCATACAAATCCATTTGCTGACTAAAACTCTCCTCGCATAAAGTGCAGCGAAATGGTTTCTCTGCAGTATGTTTTATTATGGGTAAGTTTTGATAATGGGCCATTGTATGTAACATTGTGTGAAATTCCATCTCTTTTTTCTGTTCCAATCTACTGCCACACTCATTACAGTGATAACGTTTATTTGAATGATGATCTTGAAGCTGTTGATTGTCTTTAAAGTTTTGACCACATTGTTTGCACTGGTAAGATTGCTTAGCGATATGTACTGTCATAAGATGTTCCTGTAGCTGCCAATCTTGATTGAAGTTCATGGCACACTGTTCACATTGATGTGCTTTTTTCAAGCAATGTGTAAGTAAATGAGTTTCCAGATTTCTCTGTCCTCTACAGCTTTTATTACAGTGCATACAATAATAACGTTTGTAGTCAGGACGCCTTTTGTGTGTTTGTTTCATAGCAACCGTTTCCTTGTCTCCATCTTTATTTGATTGTTTATGTATTGTCATATGGTTCTCCATGGAACCCTTATACATGTAAGTCTTCATACAAATATTACAGCGATATGGTTTTTTTCTTCTCTGTGTTCTTATGCGACTTTGAATAAAACTCTGTTGATTGTTTTTACAGTCATATTGTGTACTCTCAGACATGCTATCATCACTCTGAGGCTGCCATACTGAATTGTCAACTTCACTAAAACTCTCATGCAAATATACAATATCTGTATCCATAGCAGCAGCAGTTGAGGTGAGAAAAATATTCTGGAAAAATAACAAATAAAAATAAGTTTAGAAAGAACTTCTGTGTGGTCAGATTATTGAGGGTATATAAAGTAGAAATAAACAGTACTTTTTAAACAAGAAGCTCATTGGCTATGACGCATAATATGGAAACAAACAAATCTGATCTACAGTACTGAAGTTTATCACACAAACAAAAAACAAGAAATATTAGAAACATAGTTAATCTAATGAACACTTTGCCCATGATTGCTAGTGAACTGTGTTGATAGGTTATTCCTCAGCTCCTGAGAGCGAGGTTATTTGTAGATATGTTGGTGATCGTCGCTGTGTCTGCGGAAGTACTATGGGAGATTGCATGATGGGAGTGAAAATTCTTTTGATCTGTAAAATAATTTTAGAAAAGTGAAAACTAAAGTGACTGTGAAATAAAGGTTGGTTTTAGATATTAAATATCATGACATTTGGATGTAATAATGAAAGGAAACTGAGCTGGTATGAAAGGGCAGTAAGCGTCCTCTAATAATACCGGTATAAACAAACATTGCTGCCCCCAGGGTTTGACTGGACCCCATACAAAGAAGTTTGCTGATTCTGTTCTAAACGTTTTGGATTTTGGCATTCCCATGATGTATTCCTGGGAGGAAAAGATGTATAATAATAAGGTTGTTACGAGGATACTGCAAAGTATGCACGCAGACAGTACAAGGTTGATACTCCTGCAGTATTTTTGTAATAACTTCATAGTATGATGAATATATACCTATCTATATATCTATCAGAATATACCACTATGACCAAGAATACAGTGAAAAGCCTTCAATAAACTTTTACAATCCAAGAGCATCACACCAGAGATACTCAAATCCTGAAAGTATTAATGTACTATGCAATACTTTCAAAGAGTCTGTTGTAACACCTTTATCCACAAAGCAGAATGTAATGTCATCGGAAATTGTTGAAGAAACAGGATTTGCAAATGAGTCTGATGACAGCTGCATGTATTCAAAATACCATAGAAGTGGATAACATAGACGATGAAGTTGCAACATAAACTTGTCATTGTTGACTTTGTCGCTGCCCAAAATGCAAAGTCAAATTCAGAAGAATTTAGAAAGGCAATTGAATGTCAGACACATGGTCAGTCTAACAATGTTGCATGGAAAAAAATTACAAAACTCTCTACTATGGTATGACTCAACCTCTGCAGTTAGATTTGCTATTTTAAAATTACTCAGTTCCACAGTCTGTTTCTCAACCTTTTCCATAAGAGTGTCACAGTATATTTTCAATGACTCCATGTTGTCATACACTGAAGACTGGTTCAATAAAAAACAGTGGCCATACTTAATATGTAAAGTAGTACAGATGATTATATCATTGATGTCGTATTGGGTTGCACTGTCTATGGTCTTTGTAGTAGGTATCTAAAAAATGTAGAGAAAAATTAACAAGCGAACTAACGGCCGAAAGAGCTCCGCTTTAATAGTTAACTGTGAGTTGGAAACATCAGGTACAAAAATAATAATAATATTACAATTTCATTATTGATTGACAAACATCAATTATAAACAAATTAGAATATTAAAATTAAAAGTCCTAAAATATATCACGAATGAATCAATAAAATTTATTTTTTCAAAAATATATAAAGTACTGACCTCATCTGAAATTTCACTTCCTTCTTCTGATTGAAAGGAGTTAAGGTCCGGTTCTGTGGCTAGCATTGCTAACAATAATTTATTTTGTTTTTCCTGAAATGAAGGATAAACATAAGTTTAGTAATTCAGTGATTATTCACCATAGCTGAAGATTGCTGAAGATTTCTGAAGAGACCACAAATACACAACATCAGTCATTTTTATCCCTTGTCTCCCAAAAGCTGTTCAATCATGTTTTACATTATCTTTGTTTTGAAAACTTTGGACTGAACAGGCACAATTTTCTTTTGGCTTCAGATCTTGATTTGATTTGGCACCAAAAGGATTGTTCATAGGAGTGCTTATATCGATTATCTGAAAGTTTGTTTTCTATTAAGATGTTACTGGTATGTTTGCAAACGTCTAGTATTCCCTTGGGATTTAGGAGATACATTACCAACAATATATTATTACAAGATAAATGATTTACTTCATTGAACACATACAGCAATGCACATTCCCTGTGGACCTATGACCTTTGAATGTCTCGCCAGTAATCAGTCAGGTAGAAATAGTAAATTTCTTATCCGATTTTCACTCCTACTTTCTCAATTTTTGCATATTATGTTTACACAGGATATCTATCATTGGCACTATAAGCAGATTTTATACTGATGAAGTAGGCGACCAAGTTTGATAGTGAAATATAGAATAGTTGACTTTCTCTTTCTGTACTCTGTTAATAAGATTCAAGGATATTGTGTTACTGAATGTAAGTTATCTAGTTTCACAAAACCAATCATGCTAAATAACCTCAGTATGGCCTTGGTTTTGCCCGTTTTTTTCCCATGTTTAAAAACATAAATTTATTTGTACCCCAATTGATTACATAGATTGACTTTAGAAAGTATGTTTTTTTCTGTTAAAATAACAAGTTAACCATAAATCAAATTAAGATATTATTCACAATATTTATAACTTTCATTAGCGTCAAAACAAACATACATTCAAAGAACAACTTATTGCTATGTACTTTAACAGAAAACAATCTTTCACTATTTTTGACACTTTTCTTGGTTTTTCAAATATAAACAACAATATGTAACACTACAAGTATAATGATAACATATCCTTAAACTTGACAGTGGACATTGTTGGTATCGAATGTTAGCTATCATGGTATACCCAAACGACGTAAAAGAACTGAAACTTACCTGTAAATTGTCACTGGTTCTCCTAGTAAGTTAACTGTTAACGACGACATAGGCTGACTGACAGACAGACGAAGCTGACAGTCTCACATAACTAACAAATGTACAACTGGCAGTCCGAGTAATATGGTTAATATATTAAACGAGGTGAGACTGTGAGTTGCAACCGTAAAGATGTCACCAATTTGAGTATACGTGTAAAAGGTTACCCGTATAATTAGGAGTAATCCATTTGAAATCGCGGGGGGTGGGGGACTGGGGGTTGAATTGTCATCAAGCAAGTAATCCATAGGCTCAACAGCATATAATTTCAACAGACATTTAAACGAAAACGCAGTAGTGAGAAAACAGGTACAGAAAAATCCATTGTTATAAATTTAAAAGTAAAATGTTATAATCAGTTCCGCGGTAGAAGAGTTGAACTACTGAATACACATCAGGGCTAATATGCTAATCAAAATTACATATTTTCAATCATATTTGCTAAATTTAGTGGGTTTATTTTAAAACACCATTTTCTACGTACTTTGGCGTAAAAGTGGCCGTTTTATAAAACGCAAACTCATACAAAACAGTATTTTCGTCGCGGCGAAGTCTTCAGTTGTGAAATATCTTACAAAGTTGTCCCATTAAAAAGTGCGTCAACAACATTTAGCTAACTTATCAACAAAATGTCTTAACCAAAAATCAATAACAAGTGTAAGTATAGACTATAATAACTCATTGATGTACTGGTTATCATCATCCCAGCTTGAGCCGCTACAACGTATCCATAGAATTTTGTCACCAGACTTGTTACACGTCATCGAGCCCCCTGCTCAGGGACTAAATACTCGTACTACGGCGAGATGGCTTTCCCAGTTGCACTTCCTAAACTAGCACAAAACATACATCGATTGCTTCACTGCTATTTTCGAGGCACACCTCAAAACTCAATCATTTTGTAGAGACATTTTTCGTGAAGCACTTAAAAACTATTGTTATATGCGCTATATAAGAATTAATATCACAATAAGCGTTTTATAAATTTTACAATTTGTAGTTTCGGGCATTTGAATCAAACCAGCAAATCAACGAGCACTATGCAGAACGACGTCATCAGCCAATAGAAACCTCTCGTTTCAATCAAACCAGCAAATCAACGAGCACTATGCAGAACGACGTCATCAGCCAATAGAAACCTCTCGTTTCAATTTGAAATGTATATACATGATGTATATTTATAAAGATGAAGTGAATGCTTTTCTTGATTTTAGAGCATTCAATCGGCCAATAGAAATATTTCGTTTCACTTTGAATTGAGAAATTTATAAATATTTATAAAGATAAAAAGAATGTCGTTGTTGCGCTGAGAGAATTTGTTGTGTTCAATGATTATTTTAATATGTTCGAATGTACAATGATAATTTATTCATGTTTTGACTAGAGAATATATTTTGAAATTATGTGTTAATGCCGTTCAAGTCTCATGTCACAGCGTTACTGTGACTCGGTTTGGTTTAGAGACTATGACGAGGATACGACGATTGTTTGAATAAAACAACCGTGATTCAGTACACAACAAATTCCGTTCATTGCCAATTACCAGACCAGATTATGGACTGGTACAATCCATCGCTGCCAGTACGGTTGAGGGCAGTATGACAGGAACGGCAACTAAACACGAAAGGGACGAAGACTTGAAATCGACGATAGGGACATCTAATATAACTACCGACTCCGCTTTTAAAACTAGGAATACACCCTAAATTACGTACTTATTACGTAGCTCTCGATCAACAAACTGAAAATCGTTAACATAAAGTCTTAATTAGTGTATTTCTGTCCGTTTTTCTCCTGCTTTGGAATAATTATGTCAATTTTCACAGTACCACTGGCTTTTGTATGAAATTGACGATGATCATAGTGACCCGGACGTTGCCAAATGTTATACACGGAGTGAACGAATGTGGGATAATGTGTTATGACGTCATATATTTACAAGCATTTTTTGATATATATTTTAGAGGTGTTCCCTGAAACTATGAAATTGATTTCCGTGGCCATCCTAACAATCGATAACCAGTATCAAACAACAATATTAAAATGTAAATGTTTCATATCGTTATGTAACCCAGTTTAAATGTACACCCTGTTATTACCCTGGTATGATACGTCAATAGATTTTACTGTTCAACACAATATTATGTTGTCGAAAAATTACAAAGCATACAATCGTATAGAAAAAAACGCCATGCACCTGAACAAAACAATAATATACATTACAAACTTTGTGAGAAATAAATTATTAATTGCATAAATAATGTTAATTAAAAGTGATAACAATTCTTTTCTCATTTCATTAACTATTACACCAGGTTTTAATATGTTTTATGAACATTTATAAATATTTATGAAACATTTATGCTGAAAGATCCCCGCACTTCACTCAAATCCCCCAAAATGCTGTTAAATAGAACTCCGATACAAACTTGTGTTGTCAACCCACTGAGGTACTTCTACCTTATTTTTTACCGTTTCAAATATGAAATTTGAGACGGAGCGACAACACGACCCCCCCCCCCCCGAAAAAAAACATTGCCAGCACTGACCAATCACAAATGTACGGCAACCGAGGTGGCTCACAACATGGCATTTTATGAAATCATTTTTACTATTCATTTTAATTTTATAATTCCTTTTTAAACACCATTTTCGGTTCTGAAATCGATTTTAAAAACCCACTTTCGTTTCTGATATCTGTTTT